TGTGGAGTCACCGCCCACTAGGTCTCAAAGTGTAGGGCATCACCCCCTAGGTTTCAAAGAGTCTAGTCACTTCCACCTCAGTTCCAGAGGGAGGGGCTACCATTCAGGTGGGTCAAGAGAATGGGATTGCTGCCCAGAGTTGAGGGAGTGGGGCTGGCATGTCAGCAGGCCAGAACAGAGCCACCACTCAACCAGGAATATGAGGCCACCCAAAGTTGACAGCAGGACTGCTATCTTGGTGGTCCTGGAAGGTGGGGCTGATATCCAGGGCTGAGGGGCTGAGGGGGCTCTGCTCAGAATCTAGAGAATGTAACCAATGCCCACAGTCAGGAAGGTGATGCCATTGCCCAAATGTGCCTGGAAAACAGGATTATTTTCAAGCCTTGAGAGCTAATGAAATTTGTTCTGCTAGTTTTTGGACTTGCTTGGTACTCGTGACCCTTCTTTCCCTCCAATTCCTCCCATTGGGAATGGAAACGACTACCCTGTGCCTGTTCCACCATTGTACGTTGGAAGCAGATGACTTGTATTCTAGGTTTCACAGGTACACAGATGGAAAGGAATTTTGTTCCAGGATGTAACATGCCTAGAGTCTCATCTATACTTGATTTAATAATGCAGAAGATGAGATTTTGGTTTTAGAGTTGATGCTGAAGGGCTCAACATGGGAAGGACATGAATTTGGGGGAGCCAAAAGGTGGAACATTATAGATTGAATTGTGTCCCACAAAAAATATGTATTAGAATCCTAACCCCATACCTGTGGATGTAATCCTGTTTGAAAATAGGATTTTCTTTGTTATGTTAATTAGATCATACCCAAGTAGAGTGGGTTGTAAATCTAATCACTTCTGAGTTCTGAAAAGAGCAGATTAGACACATACACAGAGAAAGACAGATGCCATGTGAGGATCATCTACAAGCCAAGTATCAAAGGAATACCTAGGGCTACCAACAAGGAAGGAATCAACGTGGCCGAGACCTTTTGGACGTTTAACCTTCAGAACTGTAAGAAAATAAATTTCTGTCCTTTAAAGCCACCCACTTGTGATATTTGTGTTACAGTAGCACTTGGTAGCTAAGATACCATGTGTCATATTGTTAATAAGTGACACTCTCAGGATTTGATTCCAGGTAGTCTGACTTCAGCCTAATGGTTCAGCCATGCTCCCTCACTGTTGCTGAGTTTTACAGTATGTTTAAGAATTCTGTTTCGTAGTTGGCTTTTACCAAGACTTGCCACAGAACCAGCACACATGCCTTTTGTCTGCATGTACTTGTAGTCATATTTCTAAAGAACAATTTCTGCCTGCCAGCCTCAGCAAGATATAACACAAACAGAGAAAGTGTGGATGGTTCATATAAAGAATTTTTTTATTTTGGTAAAATATATATTGCATAAAATTTACCATTGTAACCATTTTTTAAATAATATTTTATTGTGCTTTCAGTGAAAGTTTACACAGCAAATTAGGTTCCCATTTGACAATTTCTATACAAATTGTTCAGTGACATTAATTCCATTTTTCACAGTGTGTCATCATTCTCATTAATTGTGTTCTTGTTGTTCCATTTCCAGTGCTCCAGTTTCCCTGCCCCCTTGTCTTCTCATCTTTACTTTAGGGTAATTGTTGACCTTTTGCTCTCATATAGATGTTTTTTGATGGAACACCATACCCATGGGTACTATCCTTTATTTTGTGTACCAATCTGTTAATTTCGCTAAAAGGTAACCTCGGGACAGTTTCAGTTCAGGGGTCAAAGAGTATCTCAGGACGATAATCTCAGGGAGTCCTCTAGTCTCAACTGGCCGGTAAGTCTGGACTTTTTTAGAACTTGAGTTCAGTTCCATGTTTTTCTCCCATTCTATCAGGGTCCATCTATTGTAGCCCTGATCAGAATGGTCGGTAGTGGTAGCTAGGCACCATCTAGTTCTTCTGGTCTCAGGGTAGATGAGGCTGTGGCCTTTGTAGGCTGTTAGCCCTGTGGACTAGTTTCTTCTCTGAGACTTTGATTTCCTTCTTTCTCTTTTGATCCTGATGAGTAGAGACCAATAGTTGTATCTTAGATGGCTGCTCACAAGCTTTTAAGACCCTAGACGCGACTTACCTCATTAGGATGCAGAACATGAACTTTTTGAATTCTACTATGCCGGTTGACTGAGTTGTCCCATAAGAATAAGATCCTAAGCCTTCAAACCCGGAAAACCAATCTCACAAGGTGTTTGGTTATGTCTGAGAAGTATCTGTAACTGTGTCCTCTATGAATATATATGTGTGCATGCACATAGTCTGTACATACACGTACATATAGATAACTTATGTCTGTGCACACATATGTACACACGTGTACCTACCCATGCCCATATATGCCTGTACACATACATATGTGAACATACACTCGTTTTTTGTTTTTTGCTGGTGGTGTTGCCAAATTATATATGTAATATTCTTTAGCACAAATGTCCTTTTCTCTCGTGCACTTCTTAGTGGCATTGTTTACTTTGCTCAAGCTGTGCTCATTACACCCACATTAGGTGCTACTTTTCCCATCTCCAAAAATAACGAGTGTCTGCAGTCTGGAGAGTGACCTCCTGCTCCAATCCCTGGTAATCACCAATGCACATTGATCTCTGTATATACAGAGATTGCCTTCTTTTCCGGGTCTTGCAAGTTTTCCACCTTTGGCAGAGTGCAGTTCTACCACTTTTCTGTGGCTGTCTATTAGAGGAAAATATTTGAGTTCTCTTTCTTTGACAGGTTTCTTCCTTACACAGGTTCTGGCTTTCACAGGTTTTACTGTATATCTATTCTTGACTTCTTACAAAAGTGGGGTTATATGATGTTTGTCCTTATATGATAGACTTATTTCATTTAGCATTGTATCCTCTAGATCCATCTATGTTATGTTTTGTGGACTCATCATTGTTCTTTATGGATTCACGGTATTCCATGGTTTGTATTTACCACATTTTGCGTATCCATTCATCCACTGAAGGGCAGTTAGGCTGTTTCCATTTTTTGCTATTCTGAATAATGCGCAGTGAACATAGGTGTGCATGTGTCTGTCCATGTCTCTCTTATTAGATGTCTAGGGTATATACCTAGGAGTGGGATTGGTCATTTTAACCATTTTTAAGTGTGCAATTCAGTGACGTTAATTTAGTGTTGTGCAACCATCACCACTATTTGTTTCCAAAACTCTTTCATTACCCCAGGCAGGAACTCTGTACACATTAAGCAACAACTCCCCGTTCCTACCTTTCCCCAGCTCCTAGTAACCTCTAATTTACTTTCTGTCTCTATGAATTTGTCTGTTCTAGGTATTCCATGTAAGTGGACTCATACAATATTTGTTCTTTTGTGTCTGGCTTATTTCACTTAGCATAATGTTTTCGGGGTTCATCCATGTTGTAGCATGTATCAGAACTTCATTCCTCGTTAAGGCTGAGTAATAGTCCATTGTGTTCCTGGAGACAGCCACACGTTCCATTTTCTCCTCTTGTTCCTGACTCTCCTTCTTTCTTTGTTGCTCCAGTGAATAGAGACCAATTGTTGTACCTTGAATGGCCACTTCCAAGCTTTTAAGAACCCAGGCACTATGTAACCAAGCTTAGGAGATAGAACAGAAGCACTCAGCACGATATTAGGCCGGTTTGCTAGGCTATTCCATGAAACCATGGCCCTAAACCTCCAAATCAAGGAACCAAATCCCATGAGGTGTTTGGTTGTATATAAGCAGCCTCAGCATAAACTAACCCCTGTGCTATGGGAGTTATAATCTAATAGAAATGAGACTTTTACACTAATTACTATAATGCAACCTGGCATACTATAAAGCCAGGTATGGGGTGCCGAGGAAAGTAAGTTAACTTCAGGCTCATGTGATCGGGAAGGGCTGATTGTGGTAGGGTAAAACATAAGTAGATAGTGTTGATAGCTACCATCAAGTTGCCCCTAACTCATGGTGACCCCAAGAAGCACAACAGGTTCAGATCTTTGTAGTCCATAGGGTTTTCATTTCAGACTAGGAAGAAAGGCCTGGCTAGTCTGTCTTAGTCTGGAAGCTCAGCTGAAATCTGTTCAGCATCATAGCAACACGGAAGCCTCCACTAACAGACATAGATGGTAGGAAAATATTCCAGCTGTTAGAATATGTAATTGCTCAGAGAGGCCCAGAGTATTTTACTAGCAAGATAAAGAATAGACAAGAGCCTCTGGGAAGGACAGCCTTGGTTGTGGGTACGTATACATTGAATAACTGAGAGAGATCATTTCAGAGGCAGACTAACTGAAGAGCTGAAGGTATGTGCAGATGCAGACAGACAGCCTGTTAAATTTGAACATGAAAATTAGAACTGATACTGAGATTTTATAAGTTGAACTTTATAAGAATAAATTTTAAAAATTTGGTGCATCATTTCAGGAGCTATTGGTGAAACATTTATTCACTGACAGTTTTTCAGAAGTTTGCGTTACTTAACTTTTTTACTAGGAAAAAAGTTTCAGTGGCCATTAGCTGTGGCGCTGATTTCCTGCAATTCTGCTGCTCTCCTGGGATCCAAAAGCTGTTCTAAAGTTATCAGACCGGCGTTTAGACAGGCTGGCTCAACTTCTTTAGCCATTTCACGTGACATTTACCTTCCTGTTCAGTCCTGTTTCATTTCAGGCAAGCCAGGACTTAGAATTACAGCTAATCCCTTTTTCCTGTGGGAGAATCACATTTTTGGTCAGATTTAAACTGCATACTTTTCTTTGGATCACTTATTATCAATATTCTTCATTATAATTCTGCAAAAAATGATTTATGTGTATGCTAATAGAAGCAATCAGATGTCAGCATGATCTTAATTTAATGACGGTAATAATTTGTGGTTTTTGACTTTCTTCATATGATTACTTTATTGGAAAGTTTTATGGTTAACAAACGTAATTGTTTTAAGGTGTTCCACAATGATGGGAATTTATCCTTAATATCGGTACTTTATTTACTTGTTAAAGGACTTTCTTTGGAGGATAGTACACCTTTAATGCAAGAAAAGACAATAAGTGCAGCCACACATGCAGTTGGTGAGGAAGAGGCTGCTGAAGTAGGTGCTAATGAGCGACCAGAAGCTCCGAAGCTAGTTCTGCAGTCTCTGTTCTCCCTTATACGAGGCCAAGTTGAGCAGTTGGATTCAAGGGCACTTCCCCTTCGCCTTCACCAGGTACGACTGTAATCCTTCACTTTTAACCTCATCAAAATTCTGCCACCACTGTTTGGAATAATCTAAAATCCAGTTCTCCATGATTAATTCAACCCCACCTGTTATTGTGAGCCCAGAGAGAAATGGCCCTGGATCCATGGCTGGTGGGAAATTTGGTATTTTAATGGCTTGTGGCCACACACTGGTGGCCTTGGGTAATCCATAGTTCAGACAGTGGCTGGGTTCTTTTCTATAGTGATTAAGCTATGTACAAGTAAGAGTCAGTGTGGCAAATGCTTACTAAGCACCAACCAGGTGCCAAGAACAATACTAGACACTGAGGAAAGATTAGTTAACAGAGTGTATTCTTAGACAGCCACTGTGGACTAGGCGAGACAGTTCTGTAGATAAATAATTATAGAATTCTCTGTTAGCTGTTAGAGTAGGCTTATACTCAAAGTTCAGAGATAGCACAAAACGAGTGATGAACTTTGTCTTGTAGGCAAAGAAAGTGGCTCTGAGCTGGGTTTTGAAGGATGAGTAGGAGCTCAGTAGCTGAACAAAGTGAGCTGATACATGAAGAAAGATAAGTCTGTGCAAAGGAATGGCTTGATACTGTTGGAGATTAAGATGGAAAAGAGATGGGAGGTGAGACTGGATAGCTGACAACATTAAGACCTTACTTTTAAGGGGTGAGAGTTTTTAATTATGGGAGTGCCAGAATCAATTTGAATTTCATAAAAATAACTCTTTCAATGATTGGGAGGGTAAATTAGAAGATGGAGAGCCTAGAGACTGGGAGGCCTTTTAGGACAGTGGTGAGGAAGCTTATTTACACAAGAGCTAATTCAGGAAAAACTAAGGTATTTTTGAGCTGTATTTTATTTTCACATAAAATGAAAATAATTGGTCCATGAGAAGGGGAAAGTTTCCCTTTTCATTTTATTTACTTCTATTTTATTTTAACTTTGGCAGTGAGCTATGAGTAGTTGTTTATTTTTGAAAAGTAAAAAAGCTTTTGTCCCAAGGGGGAAACATGTACATTCTTACAAATTTGTATTACCTTCTTTATTAACTTGAAGAATACCTTTGAGAAAGTGTGTGCTGCTTTTTGGCCACTAAGATGTTACTGATTTGCTATAGTTGAGAAGCACCAACAGCAAGGCAGTTTTCAGCCTTCCTTACCTTTGTGCAGTGGTTTGAGTTTGCAAAGGGTATTCACACTCATTGTTATTTCATCTTCCAAACAACCTAGAGAGGTGAGTATTATCTTTGTTTATAAATGGGGAAACTGAGACTCCCTCACAAAACAAGTTCTTTATAACACTAGGGTTATCATTTTGTTTATTCTATTCACTGCTTCTGTTTTGGAACAACTTGTGGGAAATTTGAATATGGGCTGTATATTAAATAATATTATTGTATCAAAGTCTAATTTCTTGGGGTTAATGATGGCATTGTAGGTTATAGGGAGTATCCTTGTTTTTGGGAAACACATGTGCAAACTAGTATTTAGGGGTGAAGTGTTATAATACCTGCAATTTACTTGAAATATTTCAGTGGCAAAAATATATGAGAGAGAGGAAGAGACAGAGAAAACATTTGGCAAAATGTCACTAATTGACAAATCAAGGTGAAAGGTATATGACTGGGTGTTACTATTCTTTGATCTTTTCTATAGGATTTCAATAAAAAGTTCAATAAAAAACAAGATTTAGAGTAGAAGTAGAAATAGCAAGTATGAACAAAGCTTTTCAAGACGTTTACATCATTGTTGCATCCTTTTTACATTAAGAGAAGAATGCCCTTTTCCATTGGCGGGTGATCCGACGGTAGAAGCAGAGCAAGTAGAAAATCATTGTTTTTAGGCAGTAAGATGATAACAATCTTAATCAGACCTGAATATTCTTTAATTTTTTTATGTTTCAAAGTCAAATTCCACTCCCACCCCTCAGGAACATACCACTTTGCTGAGTCCTGTAGATTATGCTTCTTAAATATCTCAGCAATCTCTTCTCTCCTGGTAAAGACCCTTAGAGAATACAGTGGTGGCTTAAGAGTGTGGGCTTTGGCTCTGCCACTAACAAGCTAAGGGTCTTTCAGTTTCTTCTTCTGAAAGATGTAGAGGATTAAATGTGGTAATGGATGTGAAAGCACTTAATAATAGTGCTTGGTACACAGTAAAAGCCAAATAAATATTAAGCATTATAACTCTATACTCACTGCCACTAATTCAAAGATTGCTTTATAGAAATGAAGGCTAGGGATTAGCAAAGAAATGCTGACACCTTCAGCAAGCTGAGACATCAGGCAACTGGAGTCAGCTGATGGCTGCCCTGCTCAGCCCAAGAAGAAAAATCTTCTATAACCTCCCTGAAGGGAATGGAGCTACATTATATTCATTTTAGTAATTCCCAGCCCCTTACACTGTGCCTTTCACCTAGAATCACCAGGTGTTGACATTTTGCCAAATTTGTTTCCTTCTCTGTCTCTCTCTGATACACACATTTTTTCCACTAAAATATTTTAAAGTAAGTTGCAGGCGTTATGGAACTTCACCCCTAAATGCTTATACATATATCTCTCCAAAACAAGGATGCTCTTCTACATAACCTACAATGCCATTATCAACTCCAAGAAATTAGACATTGATATAATAATATTATTTAACATACAGCACATACTCACATTTCCCCCAAATTTTCCAAAACTGTCCTTTACAACCACTGGTCCTTTAATCTAGAATCTAGTCAAGGATCACATATTACATTTGGTTGTCAAGAATCTTTAACCAACCAGTTGCTGTGGAGTTGACTTCTACCCAGAGTGACTCCGTGTATGCAGAGTAGAACTGTGCTCCGCAGGGTTTTTAATGACTGATTTTTCAGAAGTAGGCTTTCTTCTGAGGTGCCTCTGGGTAGACTCGAACTTTCAACCTTTCTGTTAGCAGCTGAGCATGTTAACATTTGGACCGCCCACTACTCTGCCAAAACTGCATTGTAAAGGTCATTGGTGATCTCCATGGTGTCAAATTCAGGGGTTGAGTCTCAGTTTTCATTTTACTGGAGCTATTAAAAGTGTTTGACAAGTTGGTCTCTTGTTCTATTTTTAAGTACTTTGTTTATTTGCCTTTGGGGACACCTTACTCTTGCTTTTTACCTGTCTTCTCACTGGCCGTGCCTTCTTAGACTCATTTGCTGGTCTCCCAAATTTTACTAATTTTTAAACATTGCAGTGACTCAAGGTTTGGTTTTTTATCTCTTCTAATCTAAACCCATTCCCTGGCTGATTTCAGCCAGTCCTGTGGTTGTCGTCCTCTTCCCTGAATTTCCAAACTTAAGTATCCAGCAGCCTGAGATGTATAGTGTTCATCTCAAACTTAAAATGTCCAAGATTAAACTTTGATTTTCCTCCCAAATATGCTGCTTTCCTAGTTTTCCTCCTCTTGTTAAATGGCAGCCCCATACCTCCAGTTGCTGAGACTAAATACTTTGAATTCATCCTTTACTCACTTTTCCCCACACTCAAATCCAGTCCATTAGCAAGTCCTGCAGCTCAACTTCAGATTATATCCATAACATCATCTCTTCTTACCACTTTTATTACTATTATCTGAGTCCTAGACACAGTCAGATCTCACCTGGATTCTTGCAGTAAACTCCTCACTGCAGAAACCTCCCTGCTTTCACTCTTATTTCTGTTTATTTATTTTTTCCTCTACACAGCACTCACTGTGATCCAGATAAACGTGTGTCAGATCCTGTCACTCTTCTGTCCAAAACCCTCCAATGGCTTCCTTTCTCATTCACAGTAAAAAGCAAAATCCTACCTTTGCCTACATGGCCCTCCATGATCTGGCCCTGTTACCTCTCAGACCTTCATCCTAACACTCTCCATCTTACTCACTCCTTTCCAGGTACGCTGGCCTCCTAGCAGTCCCTAGATATACCAAGGATGCTTCCACCTCAGAGCCTTTGGTATCTCCTCTGTTTCCTTTCTCAGGAAGCCCCTAGAGGATGGGTTTCACCAAAACAAGGGAGTAAACCAAGGAGCTAAAAGATAAGAGACAGGAAACTAGGGATCCTAGCCAGGAGAGAGGTGAAAGGAATCTCTAGGCATTGATGAGAGAAGATTCTAAGGTGACAGTTCTGTACCAAAACTAGTCTAAACCAGTCCAGTTTAGTGGATCAGATAGGTCTGGGGACTTTTTCTATCATTTTACTGTTTCTGAATACTTGATTATCTGAATGTATTGGGAGAGATTTAGACAATTTGTAGAGTGTTTAGAGTTATATGAGCGATACATAGAAAACTATGCCCCCTCCTTAAAAAAACAACTCCCTCCAGGAAAAGTAAAATAATCATAGTTTACAATATGGCTTGGCTCATGATAAGGTATTGATCTAACCATTACTATAATATAACAGTTATAGTAATCAGTATCTTATCATGGCAGGGGACGTATGAAAGAAAAAAATTGTGTGTTTGTAGGGCTAGCATCAGAAGGGAGTAAAGGATTTAATCCTCATCTTCTGAAAGTAAAAAATCAAGAAATGGCAAATACAGGCTTAATATTCAGTGATATAAATAAAGATTTTAAACAAATAAGTAAATCTAAGTGTATTTTCTTAAGGAAGGGGGATGGGGCTAGAGGGGCAGGGGCTGCTGTTTTCCTTTACAAACCTTATAGAACTATTTGACTCCTTAAACTATGCATAATTTTGCTAAAAATCAAATAGTTCCAGCATAAGTAAGAAAAGCATCTTGGTTAAGGTGATACCAGTGGAAATGGAGAGGGGTGAATTTGAGATCTTCAGAAGGAAGAATCACTAAGACTTGGTGATAGATTGCAAAAAGGAATGAAGGAGAAGTCAGAGATGACTCTAGGAAATCCACTTTGGGAGAATGGTAGTGCCTTTAGCAGAGATAAGGAATTACAGAGGGAAAATTAATTTTGGGAAAATTGTGATTTTTAAAGTGATATTATATGGGTGAATATGTGCTGAAGTCTATTGGAAATATAACTACAGTTACTTTGGTTAGATACTTGTATTTTTAGCTCTTGGAATTCTGGAAGATTCCACTTAAAAATTCTTGTTCTTGGATATGAGTAATCTTTCACACATTGACTTATTTAACATGACTGCAGGATATCTTTAAGCTACAAATCACTACTGAAGTAATTCGCTTGGAAGCTTTTCATATGGGCTGCTGAAGCTGTTTCAGACTCAGGCAGGAAATGAATCCACTGGGATCCTTGAAGCCGCTCTGTGAGAATATGACCAAAAAACACTTTCCCTTTTTTTGTTCCTTGTGGGTAAATGAAACCTGAAACAAGGGTGACCTTAAAGCCCTTGCCTTTCCATGATAGTTTTCAACTTAACTTCTTCACATGATTCTACTCTGCATCTTGCACTTCTGGTTCAGACTGATTCAAACCATTCTGAGCACTTACTACCATGTGTACTATGCTAGATACACATTCTCTTGCTTAATCCTTGTAACAGCGTTGCCTCGTACCCTTGTAGATAGTGTCCCTGTTTTCCAGATAAGAAAGCTGAGGCTTCAGGAAGTGAAATGACGGATGTAAGGTCACACAGCTGTAAAGTGGCAGAGCTTGGACTAGAACATAGGTCATTCATCTCTAAACCCCAGATTCTTTCTGCTCTACCAGGCTGCCTCTCAGCTTTAGACATATGGGACATCAAAATAATAATAATAATAATAATCTTTTGTCCTGTTGCGCTTGCTAGGGGTATGTTTTTATAGGGACATACTCTGTATATTTATTTTTCAGGCTGCCCTTTTACCTAGAAACACATTTTACTTTTAAGGTATTGGGATTTATGGTATTGGAATTACACAAAAACCTGAATGCTATTTGAAAATTCTATTTCTGCACTGCCAGGAACTCTGGCACATAATAGGTGTAAACCCCATTAAGACGTCTTAAATGAGAGCTATTCATAAATGCGTCAGTGATGCACAGATGCAAAAAGACAAGTAAAATCACTTTGAAGAGCCAGACATTTTATCTTAATGGGCAACCTAAAATTCTTTCTCAGCCCATGTATAGAAAGGAAACTCTGTGCATACCATAGGTTTTTTGCTGGAAGTTCATAGATGGAAAGTTGTCATTTTCATTAAATGCAACCCAGTGATGTGCTGGAGCCTGCTTGTACTGGCTCGTGAGGAATGTGTTCAGTGATGTGGAGCATGTGCGGAGCTTGAAATTGGCCCAGATGGGAGTACTGACACCACAGAAATGAGCAAACACCACACATCAGGTCTTTCTCCTTGTCCCCAGAGCTAACTGTTAAATATTTATGAGCACACCACTGGCTGAACCATATGAACTGCCTATTTTATAGGTAAAAAAAGGTTGAATATCAACAATTTGATCTGGTTCAAATTAAGACCATTATAACACACTATTAAAACAATGACCTGTTAAAAGAAAACCAGAATCTTGAAAATCAGTTCCCCCCTTGCAGAGTCCTCAGAATATAAAATAAATGTGGAACCAAATTTTAGATTAAACTGAAAATTTACAGAGAGGTAATTGAGTCCAGTCATCTGTATTGTGTATAGAGAAATATGTTCGCTCTATAAAATGTATCTTAAGCTAGGCAGATATTTTCCTTTAAAGGTATGCTGTCTCCACCAACACTGGGGATTTGGGAAAAACCATTCCTATCATACTTTATAGTTTCCTTTTTATTGCTAGTTTATAGGTTTGACAAGTACTTTATTGTTCTTTGCATTGGCAACTACCTGGAAAATGGAAATAACTAACTACTAACGCATTGCTACTGAGTCGATTTCGACTCATAGCGACCCTATAGCACAGAGTAGAACTGCCCCATAGATAGTGATCTATCAATAGAATGTAAATATTTACTAGAGATCTAGTAAGAATAAGTGGAAACTGTTTTAAAAGTATACTTATATGAAATACTCTAAATATAACAACAGTCAGTATATACAAATATTTTTCAGTGAATACTTTTAGTTTTGCTGGCCCATTCAGAAATGTTATATATCTAAATAAAAGATCCCAAAGTATTTAGAATCGAGGAAATTTTTAAATTTGAAGGTGCTTCAGAGTTAATCTGGTAAGTGCCAAGCCTCAACTGGGACCAGCTTCTGAGTCCCCAAACTCCTCATCTCATGTGCTTTAGCGTGTGTGACACTTATGGCTTTGTTCGTGTTCCACACATCATCACTCAACTGTTAGCAGCTGGCCTGACCTTTTCTTAATTATCAAAGCAGAATCAAAAAGTCAGTGTCCCACAGATCTTCAGCAAGTAGTTTGTGAAATAGAAATGAAATGAATGTGGTTTTAAGCTCTCATGTGATGTAACATACTTCAACTTTTATAATAAACAAAGCCTTTTTTTGCTCATGTTATCCCTTTAAGCCTCTGTCTCATTTTCCTCATGTTTAGAGCTCTTACTTCTAAACTCTGATAAATCAGTGGAATTTGCCTTCACTTGAAATAGAATAGGAAAAAAAAGGTCATGTAAAGACCAAAGAATGTCTACATTTGCCTTGCTAGAGATGAGTAGCTTCAGAATTGTGTCCTGTGCTTACAGTCAAATTCCTTCTCAAGTGGTAACATAGTTAAGAGTTTCCATAGTTTGATATTAAAGACTTTCAGAGTTTCAAGGTCTGGATTTCTTCCAAGTTTGTCTCTTCATCCAAATGTTAATTTAATTTCCTTTGGTTTTGTTTGTTTTTAACAGATAGCAGAGTCCTATTTCCAGGAGGAAGACTGTATCCTTTTCTTTTTCTTTTTTATTTTTATTTATTTATTTTTTTATTGTACTTTAGATGAAGGTTTACATAACAAATAGTTTCTCATTAAACAGTTAGTACACATACTGTTTTATGACAATGGTTAACAACCCCATGACATGTCAACACTGTCCCTTCTTAACCTTGGGTTCCTTATTACCAGCTTTCCTGTCACCTCTTACCTTCTAGTTCTTGTCCCTGGACTGTTGTGCCCCGTTAGTCTCATTTTGTTTTATGGGGCTGTCTAATCTTTGGGTGAACCTCAGGAGTGACTTTATTACTATGCTAAAAGGGTGTCCGGGGGCCATACTCTCAGGGTTTCTCCAGTCTCTGTCAGGCCAGTAAGTCTGGTCTTTTTTTGTGAGTTAGAATTTTGTTCTACATTTGTATCCTTTTCTTAGTTATGAAATTACAAGAAGAAATTCATAGAACTCTTAGGGGACCATCTTTTTTTTCTTTCTTTTTTTTTTTAACTTGAGGTATACTTTACATACAATAGAATGTACAGATCATAAGGGTTCAGTGGGTTTTGATAGTTGTATCCACCCACATAACCACCACAACATAAAACAAGATGTAGGAAATTTCTGTCATTCTAGAAAATTCCCTAGAACCACCCAAACTTGACCTTCCATAAATAAGCTGTAATTTTACCCAAATCTAAATATTTGTGTGTCCTGGAAAAGGAAAAAAAAAAAAAAAAAAAGCACATGCTGCTGCAAAAAATAAATGTAAAACATCTATTGCATTTTCTTTCTTTTAAACTAAACAGAAGCACAAGTCAAGTGATATTCATACGGTAGAGCATGTAAAGTATATTACATATAGTAAATCCATGATGGTCTTATAACAGCTATGTACCTGCAATGGGAAGACTGACTTCTTCCCTAGAACTAAACAGTCTAAATGGTGTCAAGTGATACGGCACCTTGACATATGTATAGGGAAGATTTCTTCTCTTGCCTTTCTTTGTGGGAGAGGGATAGCCCAGTATGTACCCTCTAGAGAAAATGCGTCATAAGCATCTCTTTTTCCCTGTTGTTGTGGTTTGCTTCGCCTTCTAACCTTGTTGACTTTCCCTATGTCTCTGACCAGACAGATGGAGGGGTAAGCCACCAGTGACTGTTCTGACCTCTGTCGAGCAAATTATTGTATACCTTCAGACAGTAGCAGTCTGTTACTAAATATGTTGGAAATCTAACGAAGATAGAACTCTCTCGTTATTATTTTTCAACCAAATGATAAGTATGATGTAGTCCAGTGCAGACTGGCAGTATCAGCTTCCCTGGGAGCTTCTTAGATATGCGAATTCATGGGCCCCACCGCAGACCTACTGAATCAGAATTTTTAGCAATCAGACCCATGAATCTGTATATTAACAAGTTTTTCAGATAAAGTTTAAGAAATACTGGTATACTTTATGTCATGGACAAAGGAAAATGGAATCATTGTTGCTTCTTGCTGGCCTATTTCATGATCCTTGGAATATCTTTAAAACTACAAAGGAGGAAGAGAACTGAACCTGAGTGATCATGGAAAGGACAAAAAGCTAAGCAGTGAGTTTTTCTTGTCCTTCGTTCTGAATCAACTCTTAGAACATTGCCCCGCGTCCTCATAAGATGCAAATATGTGTGCTGCGGATGAGAAGACAGAAGTTCACAAGCCTTTCTAGAAAAAAGTGAAATCACAAAACAATTACAAAAATTAGTGTGGTAGTTAAGTTAATTAAATTTTATCAAAAGATCCAGGTAATTTTTTGCTCTGTCATTGTTTGGGCATTTGATTCTTTGATCTTGTGGGAAATATAAGGTGCTGAAACCATTCAGTAGGAAATAAGTTAAAGGATCAAGGTGATTTGAAACTGGAAATAAACACTTGACTAGAGGGTAACATAGTTGCTTGACAGAAAGTAATTTAAGGAGAGAAATAAAAAGGGAAACATTTAGACTCCAGGTTTCCAATTAAATTACTTTTAATTGACCCTGCTAGAACTGTATTAGAGAGGAGGCATTCCTTGAGCAGTAAAGCTTAGTTTCTACTGTTGGCTGATAATATGGAACTCAATAGCTACTGCATTAAAGGCTGCATTAAAATTTCCCCACTTCAAAACCAAGAAACATTGTATATGTTTAAATTTAAAAATATTTAGATCCCTCTCATGTTTTTGTTAGAGGCAAATTTCTTAACTTTGATAGGATATTCCTCTTCATATATGGGGCTAAGTGTAAAAAGTCTGGATTTCTATTTTCCTTAAATTTCCATTCAGATGAGAAAGCAATCAAATTCATTCAGCTTGAACGATTATATCATGAGCAATTGCTTGCAAATCTTTCTGCCATTCAGGAACAGTGGGGTGAGTACAGACTTATGTAGAATGTGGAATTATCAGTAATCTAACAAGTAGCTATCTAGAAAGTTAACATATTTGACCTGTTTTGCAAGTCAGGAAATAGATGTTTCCACAGTGAAGTTAATGTTACGAAGAAAGTAACATTTTTACACAGTCCTGTGTTATTGTGAGAAACTTTTTTATGTTTTGCCCTTCATGTCAATAACAAAAGAATGCTTGTGGTTATTTTCATTTTTTCTGATCAACTTGTTGCCCTACTGGCTAATTTAGTCTCTGGGATATTTATGTTGAAAAGTAATCACTTAGATATTTCTGTGTTAACTATTGGATTGTTTGAGAAGATAATTGTGTACTAATCTTTATTAGTGCTGCCTATCAACAATTTTTTCCCTTCTTAATATGTTTTGTAAGAGTCAGTGACTAATAAATATTTTAAATTTAGAAACAAAATGGAAAACTGTACAACCACATACAGTTACGTCTGAAAGGAATTCAGAAAAAGGATTTAATGGTGAAGATTTCGAACACCTTACTAAATTTTGCACAACCCATCGAGAGTAAGTATATCAGTATTTGATTAGAATGCGGGGGGGAGTAGAATGTTGAAGAAGCATTGTAGCATTGAGTTTTTGAAATATAAGATCCATTTCTTTACTAAACAGTTAATGTTTTCAGTTGGAGTTGTAATAAAATACTAGGTTCCTCTCTCAGCTTTTATCTCAGTTTCTTACTCTTAACTCAGTAAAAGGTTGGCTTTACATAGGTTCAAAGGACCCAACTGATTAGAAATTTTAAAATATAACTCTTCTAATTTCGATCTTTTTTTTTTTTTTTTGGTTAAAAAATGAGACAATTTATATCAACTAAATTGTGTATTAGGATAATTTATTCAGTTTGTTTGCCAGTGTTTGTAAGTTGTAGTAAAAACAGCATTTTTTAAGGGTAGTCTAATGCTGGAAAGCAAATATAATTACAATATTTATCCAGAATGCTGCAGAAGTAAAACTGCATTTACCAGATAATTTTAAATTGCCTGACTTTTATTGAATTATATTTTTAAACTAAGTTATAGAGATAATAAAGCATTTAAATCATTTTCTAAAAATTCATTATTTGAAGATCCAGAATTTTGAAGGTGAGGGGGCATGATTGTGATTAACCTAGTGCAGATTTATGGGATTTCAAACATGAGTGGTCAGTACAGAGGCTGAAAGACTTTCCATTCTTTTGATAAATTTTTCTCCTTTTGTCTCAGAATCACAAAGAGTAATAAGCTAAAGTTCTATTTGTTAATAATGCAACAGTGCCAAGTAATTGTTGCTTAGCTCATGCAGCAGATACAGAACTTGCTTTTGGATCTGATTGTTCTGGAGACCAGCCTTTGAAGAATGTTTTTAGGTTCAGAGATGTCTTCTCATTCAACTTCTATGATGACAAATTTCTTGCATTAATCAGTTTGAACAGTATTGAAGCAGTATTTTCAGGAATTCTGAATTATAAGCTAAACTTTAAACAGATTTTAAAATAATCTGTGAAAACTTGTTATTTAAAATAGCAATTTTTTACATGTTAAATAGGTTAACTTTCAATCATAAAAGTTTTAAAATAATGGCATCTTTTAAAATAGGTAAATATAATTTTCTTACTTTCAGGACACTATAGACATCATTGCCCCCATGGAACTAATAGCTTGTTAATGTGTTACAAATGTTTTAATCACTCAATAAACAAACATTTATTCAACATAATATGAACATGGCATTTTTATGCTTTAAAATTTGGATAATTCCTGCAAATTATGACTCTTAAAATTTTTTTAATATTTAAAAATATTTTTGAGAATTGTACATGTAGAAATTGTTGAATTTGGCGTATGTTCTCTTGTGTCTATTTGTGACAACAACAAAAATAAATTATTTTTAAAAAAGAAAAATATTTTTGAGTTAAAACATACATATGATAAAGTGCACAAACTTGATGAAGTTTTACATACACATCTATATATACATAACTGTGTATATATAGATGTATACGTAATCAAGATACAGAACATTTCTAACCCTTCCAAAGGCTCCCTCATTCATGTACCAAGTCAGTACCCACCTTCCAAGGTAACCACTCTGAGTTCTATAACAGTGTATTTTCCTGTTATGTAATCTCATATAAATGGAATCACACAGCATGTAGATTTTTTTTCATCGTGTGTCTCTTTTACATGTCGTTGCATGTAACAGTAGTTCTGTTTTATTGCTCTGCAGATTGATTGTTTGACTGTGCATAAGTTTATTCATTCTGTTGTTAGTAGATGTTTAGTTTGTTTCCAGTGTTTTAATATTATGATTAAAGTGGCTGTGAACATTTTTTTGCATGCCTTTCCACTGTCTTGGGTATTTTCTAAAATTTAATATTTAAAAATTACTTTTTTTGTTATCTGTTTCCATGGATAATTTCAATAATACTTTCTCCCACCATAGTCTATTTTAGACCTTAATGACATACACTGAAATTAAAAAATAATGATATATATGTAATATTTTAACAATACATTATTAGCAAAAGGTTAGCATTCTTTTATTCATCTGGATTTTAGTGTTTGTCGTTTCTCTGGAGGTTTTCAGTAGTCATTGGCTATCTAAGGAAGTTAACACTTGATATAGCTGCACTTTGAACTGTGTAAACCAGCGGTGATGTTTCAGCAGTGGAAATGTTCTGTGCTAATATTAGAATCCAGAGAAGCTGTATATTTTTTTAAAAGCCATTTCAGTGACATTTGTTTGGAAGAATATCGCTCCTGTAATTTTTTTTTTTTAATTCTTTTTTCTTTTTCCTACAGCCCTCTTTTATCCAAGCATAAGGTAAGAGATTCTTTTGAAAACATTTGTAGGAAAAATGTTAGTGTTTTATGTATTGTATGGACTGTTTTTAAAAATAGTTAAGCCTTTTTCAAATTATTTTTAGTTTTCTTACTTAATGCAACAGTTTGCAAAACAAGTTTTGGCTTTTTTTCTTGTTTGTGTTTTTGTTTTTAACTCTTTAGATAGCAGCTGTAGAAAAGTCCCTGGGAAGAAAATGCTTTACACGGTTAATAGTGTCTGAAGATCCAAAAGAGCGAGTCAAAGAGTCAGGTATGTTGGTAAGTTAAGTTAGGGAGGATGTAGAAGATGCCAGCCTCTTTCAGTATTTTACAAGTGTTAACATCTGAATTGCTGTGAAGGAGATTTTTTTCCATTTACGGTTTTATACACATACCTCTCCTAGCAAAATAGCAAAGCAACATTTTTTATGTTGTGTAACTCCATTTTTAGATGTCTAGTAGTAGAGATTATATAATCTAAATTCTTATAAAAATATAAAATTAGTTCCATGTTTTCATCAGGTGATAATATGTACCTAACAGAATATGCGAAGACTGCATAAAAATGCTCTGAAATAGGATTGATTTTGGTGTATTCAGACATCTTCTTCTGTTTAAAACCCAACAATCATTGTATTGACTTTACCATGAATTTGTTTGTATATTTAGGTATCTCAAATCTCTATATTTTGATAATTTCTCTATAGCATTTTATTCTGTTCCCTTTTTTGTTGACAAACAGATGCTGTGCTTTAAGTCACATATACACGTTTCCAACACTTTTATGATATATTTTGTACTACATGCCTTATAGCAAAAGTTAAATACTTTTAGAACCTTTCTTTTTTCTTACAATAGTAATATGTGGTATAAAAACTTAAGAAAATAAAGATAAATAAACACATTTTAGGGTGTTTATTTTATTTTTCTGATGTATGGTTTTAGTACTAACGGATATTCTTGGGCTATTTATTTATGAGCCTGGGAGCCCTGATAGTGAAGAAGCGGTGTCAGGTGTTTGGGCTGAGTTTTCCTAAAGAGATATGATGATGAAATAAGATAACGATGCCTTCAGTTAGCTAGCCTTTTATTCTTTACAACGAACTTTTTAAAAAATCTTATTTTAGCACCCTTTTCTCTGATGAGGCAAGTTAGACATACTGTCTTGGGTCAGTCCTACTATACTATGTTCTTCCGTTCTCTTTTCTTCCCCCTAGTCATTTTTATATCAGAAATCAGAGTAAAATGAGCTTCATAAAAAACTTAAAGAGGGAAAAGTCACAAAAAAAAATCCACCTAGTGCTCACCGGGGAGTACTAGTACGGGTTGTTTGTTTGAACTGGAGACGCAGCACTGTTGCTGCCCAACACTAGCTTGGCACCACCTCTGGCTTGGCCTCTGCTGGCAGATACGTGGCACAGATGGGAGAACTGAGACACCAAGTTGAAGCCGCTTGCTTGGTGTTTTGATTCACTGCTAGCACCTGGGCCTTCTGTTTCTAATTGAAGGCAGTATACTCAGTAAGTGGTATACGGATTATCAAAAACTTCAACAGTCCAGACATCCTACTAGAAACCATTTCATGAGAGGTCTGGACTAAATTCATGAGAAGGAAGTCTTGCCCACGTCTGATAAAACAGCATTTTAAAGAGAAATGTCAAATTTTCCAGAATTAGTCTCCTCAGATTTGTTATTCTGTGAGTAAATATAAGAAAATAAATACAGAGAAATGCAAGAATGAGAAAAGAGGAAATATGAAAACATTACTTTAAATGATTTGTATTTAATGCTTTTTTGGGTTTTTTTTTTTTTTTTGGCTTCATATTCCTCATTTCTAATAATGTCTGACATATAGTACAGTCTCGACTTTCCTTTTCCTTTTATTTCTCTCTGCATTCCTCGGTCTCAAGCTCCGTGTATAATATGTAACAGGCAGTTCTTCTCTGTCCTGTAGGGTCGCTATGAGTTAGAGTGGACTCAGCGGCAGTGGGGTTTTATTTCTTGTGTAGTGGTTAGAGGCATCGTTCCTGAAGCCAGACTTGTCTGTCTTGAATCTAGCCTCCGCAGCTTAAAGCTGTATGACCTCAGGCAAGGTGCCTACCTTCTCTGTGCCTCTCTTTCCTCACTTCCAAAATGGAAATGCTCATAGTGCTCACCTCATAGGATTTGTATGAGGATTAAATTTGTAATTTCATGTTAAATGTTTGGAAGACTACCTGGTATGAAGTAAGAGCTCAGTACATGTTCGCTGCTTTCATTCCTCCTCCTCCTCTGCTATCACTACCCGCTACTAAGAGTATTCTGTCACTACATAGTTCTACTTTCTAATTACTCTACCCTCATTAAAGTCTTCAAGTAATTTCATAATATTTATATAGTATTTTGTATTTTCAAAACACTTCCATGCACATTATTTCATCTGTTCCTCTTAACCGATGTGAGGTAGGCTGAATCGTTTTAAGAAACTCAAGTAAGCTAAGTGACTTATACAGGTCAGAGCTAATTAGCACTTAAAGTCAAACACTGGTTTTCTCACCCTGAAGTCCATGCATTTTTATTAACTTGTATTTTTATTATGTATTTTTACTATGTAATATTTTATGTGTAAAAATTGTATGTAACATATGTTAGTCATAACAAATGATAACAAAATGAAGGTCTGTGAACCTAACGTCTAACCAAGGACTAAACTGTTGTTAATTCTGCTGCAACTACCTTTGTGTTCCTTTCCTTTCCCATCTCTGCTTTCACCCCACCCCCAAGGTAGCCACTATCCTAAGTTTTATATATATCATTCTCTTCTCTTTTTTTATCAACTTTATTGAAGTATAATTTCCATGCAATAGAATATAACCATTGTAAATATATAATTTGATGAGTTTTGACAAATATGTACACTCAGATAACCCAATCAAAGTATCAAATATATTCATGCCTCCAAAAATTCCCCAAGCCCTTTACCGCCATTCCCTCCCCGCCTCTAGCCCCAGACAACCCAGAGCTTTCTGTCACTGTCGATTCATTTTTCCTGTTTTAGAATTTAATATCAAGTTGCACAGCGAGCTGTTTCTGAGAGTCACCCACATTGTCACCTGTGTCATTAGTTGATTTGTGTTGCTGACTAGCATTCCAGTTTATGATTATACCACCTGTTGGTGACATTTGGGTTGTTTCCAGGTTGGGGCTATTATGAATAAAACTGCTGTGAAATAGTTTTGTGGATATATGTTTTTATTTCACTTGAGTAAATAACTGAGGGTTGAATTGCTAGGTCATAGGGTAGGTGCATGTTTAACTTAAAAAGAAACTATGAACAGTTCTCCACTGTGGTTGTACCCTTTTATACACCTACCAGCAATATGTGAAAATTCCTGTTGCTCCATGTCTTTACTGTTACTCCATGTCTTTGCACTGAGAATTGTTAGTCTTTTTTATTTTAGTCATTTTAGTGGATATGAAATTGTATCATGTTGTGATTTTAACTTGCTTTTTTCCTGATGACTGAGTATGTGCATTTTCTAATATATTTTATTGTGATAAATACAGATAAAACAGAACATTTACTATTTCAACATTTTTTACATGTACAATTACGTGTACTTGTAATTTTGAATTACTCTGTCTTAGAAGCTGTGCTAATTTATACTCTAATCAACATTTCAGGCTTAGTTTAAGTATTTATTTTCAATCTGCTAAAATAAATATTTACTGTGAAAATTTATTTTTCAAGCCTGATATCTGAATACAATATCATGTTTATGATATTTATACTTACATGTTTATACTTAATGTTAATTAATGAGATGTTCAGAAATTACAAGAAGTGTTAATTCATGAATACTTTAGTCCCATATCATGAATTATGTTGGAGATTTTTTTTTTTCCAAAAAAGAAATAAGGGTGTGTGTGGAGGGGTGGGAGAAGGACAAAAAAGAATAGTTCAAAGGCATGTGTGTGTTCCTGTAGAGCATGTGTTAGAACGTAGGTTAAGTCTGACTCTCATTTTAGAGCTACCTTTGAATCTTTAATTCAGTATTGTTTATTAAGTATCTGTCATATACTTGACTATTACTTCTATTTTTATTTCATCAGAGTAGTATAGCTTTTTTTTTAATGTGTGAACCTAATGCAATAGGGGTAGCAAACTTACTTCACTACATCTTTGTTTTCAGAAGAACTAATTAACAGAAGCTCATTGTAATATTAATAGAAACAATAACAATAATAAGTTTTTTTACTGTAATACATTCTTGTAGAAAATTCAGAAAATATTTTTGGTTAAACATAGTGCATCAAACACTTACCTCCACTTTTTCCTGGAACACCATTAAAATGTCAGAAAGGGATTTTTAAAAAGCAGAAACCCTCAAGGACAGAACTGGCAAGGAGACAGAAGCAGATGAGATGTCGAGAAAATACCAAAAGCTGGAAAACAGATCCGTGGGTGGCAGCTGACATAGCAGCCCAGCGAAAACTGAAAACTAAGTGTCTACAGGGAAAAAGTTGGTTTCTGCCTGGAAAGGTTTGAGAATCGGAAGCACATGATTCCCAAGGATAAAAGATTGTACTAAAAACAGGAGATTCAGTTGAAAGGTTGTATAAGAAGCATTTAGATCTTTAGATTCCTTCCCTATATAGAAAAGGGGATTAAATTAAAGTCTTACATATCCTTAGCCCACATTCCGCATTTGTTATCCAGAATTTTGGCAGCTAGGTGACTTTCCTCCTCTCTGAGAAACTGGCTTAATCTAGGAGATGAAGCCTCCAGATACTCACATTCAAGGCCTCCTAACAAATAGCCAGGCCCCCTTTATCCCACGTTGAGGACTACTGGACAAGGCTTGCCTTTAACCACAGAGCCTTCATCAACTTCTTATTGCCTTATTTAGGAAGAAAAAAAAAAAAAAAAAAAAAAAACCTCAAACAGGAAAGACAGAGACCAAAACAGATGGACAAAAAAGAAATTTGAAGGAAACAAAATGCAGAGAACACATGAAAACCTAAAAAAAAAATTTATTGAGTATTATCACAGAAATTAGAGAAAATACTGCATATGTGGAAACAAGAATAAGATGCTATAAAAAGGCACATTTCAAAAATAAAGTCCGTAGAAATTAAAAATGTGATGGCCAAAATAATTGCAAGAATTGAAGAATAAAATTGAGGCAAAAACCAAACTAAACCCGTTGCTATCGAAACAAAGACAAAGAGATGAACAACGTGACAGAAAAGACATAGATGATCGGTCCATGAGGTTCAAAATCCTAATAC